TATATCTAACAAGAAAACGATAAAACTCATTTTAATTAAAATGCAAATTTAGTGTCACAGTCTTTTCAATACCAAATTGGAAAAGGCAAGAAATAGATTAATACTAGATATTAAGGTTTGTAAACATGCAATCTCACAGAGTAGTGATGATAGATAATAAAAATATTTCTGATAATCAATTTGGAAATGGGTATCAAATGCCTTTAAAATATTTACTTCATTGATTAATTCAATATTCTAGGAATATAGCTTAAGAAAATAGAAGTACACATCAGACTGTAGTATTATGTGATAGAAAAAGCAGCAGTAACTTAAATACCCAACAATAGGGGATTAGTTGAATATTTTATAGTGTATAGTAACAGATTCTACACTGCTGTGTAAAAAATCACATTTTATATAATCAGTAATGTGGGAAAATTCTCACAAAATATGTGGATGATTAAAAAGAATATGGTGATGTTGATACATGATAGAGCATATGATCCCAATTTATAAAATTAAATGTAGAGAAGCTCTTTTACCTGACCTCTACTTAACAGAAGCATCAGATGTTCCCTCTTCCTTTTGTAACTTATCTTTACTGATGTCAATACTTATGGAGAGCTGGCACCTCCCTAGGATAGCCACATTTTTTATTCCACCTGTTGATTTATATATAGATTTGGAGTCAGATGTGTTGTTATATCTTAATATCATTTTCCTTGGTCCTATAATTACAAAGCCTAATTACAGATTAAAATGTCTAGTAAACTATGAGTGCTAAAACAGAGTAATTGTTTATGTTAAATAAGTAGAATTCTTTGGGAAAAGTCAATTAATTTTGAGTAGGTAAGAGGATTTGCTCAAATTATGCGTGGACAAGAAAACTGTGCAACACTGGGGGAAATGATTAAATTCTAGAATTCTACACTGAGATTTGTTTATGTCTTTATATTATTGTTCCCATTTTAAGAAAACCAATCTAGAAATCATTTATGGTTCATTAGGAAGATGATTTATGTTATAAAGATGACCTGGAGCTCCCATCAGAAGACCTGTGGTCAGAAAAAAAGCTTGGTTCTACATGAAAAGATTAGTGAAGAAACACTTATTAATTAAATTAAACTTACATATCATGTATGTATAATTTTTAAAGGTTCTGCACCTTATAAAACCTTTTTCTGATTAACCAAAGACTGTTGGCTATCAGATAGAAGGGATTCTACTGCACATGTGTGTATAGAAAAAATATTGGGAGTCTTAACACCAAAATGTTTTAGTAGTTGTCTCTTGATAGCTATCATGATTTGTTTTTTCTTCAAACATTTATTTTTCAATTTTCCTAGAGTGAAAATGAATTACTTTGATCACAATTTAAAGTTATCTGAAACAAAAAAGGACCTCTCCAACCCCTTCCCCACAAAAGGTACTGGGCTTTTTGCCTAAATTCGGGGTCATTGCCATTGTGGTTCCAATGTGGTGTGAGCTTGAGATGTTTGCTTCCATACCATTGGAATCTCCACCTATTCTGTGTTCTGATAGACACGGCTAAAGGTGAGACAATGCACCTTGAGTTTTTTTAAGTCTAACAACTACACAAAGCTCATGATGAAAACAAGCATCCATTACAGCAGGCAAATTGCACTTAGTGTCCAACAAATGTTCAGAACCAGGGTGTGAACGATCATCCTTGTGAAGAATTGACATCTTGCAGGATAGGTACTTCCAGACCCTGCCCCAGCCCTCCAGGTATGCTTGGTTGGCAGCTTATTACAAGCAGGTCATACACTAACTTATACCATGTGTTAGTTAGTTAGTTATAAGTTAGTTATACACTAACTTATACCACATATATACCATGTGTTTGTCATTCAGCATATAAATATCGGTCCTTTGCCCAGCACATAATAACTCTGTAAATAGTAAGTTTTCCTTTAGAAGATTATGGGAGGGGTGCATGTGATGACAGTAAATTTTGTTTAGATGATAAACTACATGACACTGGTTTTTAGGTCTGTTTTCTGTATAACTTCTGTGGACTAAACACTGAATCATGTTGGAACTAAATGCTATTTAATGTGCTAGTGAAGTGTCTTCCATTTTGCATGAGTGTTTTCTGTCCATGGTGTAACATTGTGATGGCATACTCTTTCAAATTATATTTATATTCCCAGACCCTATTCCCTAATTTGCTTTTCTTTTCTAATGCCTTTTCTTCCCCTCTGAAGTCCATAGTATTTTTAAAAATACATATTCCTTGAGAAGATATTGAGCTTTTGCTTAGGGTCATACATAAAAGTGTTTGATTTAAATAATCACGGGAGTTAAATTGCATCTGCCAGGGAGTTCTACATTTTTGGCAGTTACAGGCTGCCTTTATTCAGTTTAATGATGAAGATTTGACTTCGTTGGATTTTTTCTTCTTAGTAAAATGAATGGCGCATCTTTCTTTAATTGTGATCCTCGTCAACCATTTGGCCCAGTAATGGTATGCAAATTAAACTCTTTAAAAATTAATGCTAACATTTATTAAATAATGCATCATACAAAAAGGTAATTTGAAATTCCAAGTTAGACTCCCTATCTGCTCATGAGAAAGTATTTTTTGTGCCATCTTCCTAAAACATCTTTATAGTCTTTCTAAATACCTTGAATGTTTTTCCAGTATTTTGCAAAATTATCACCATGGAGACTGTTCATGTAGACAGACTCTTTATGCTTTTCAATTTTGATTGGTATAAACTCTCAGATTTTGAATTTATATCACTGCTCTGACTTTCTAAACTTAAAAAGTGCTTATAGATGTTTCTTTACCACAATTTAAAGACAAGTTAATTAAGGGGTATGTAGACTTAATTGTACAAGCTTACCTTCGCTTTTGATTCTCAAATCAGAATGTATATCATATGCTTGGGAATTCTCTGGCAGTCCAGTGGTTAGGACTTGGTGCTCTCACTGCCGAGGGCCCAGGTTCATTCCCTGGTCAGGGAACTAAAATCCTACAAGCCGGGCTGTGCAGTCAAAAACAAACAAAAAAAGAATGTATATCACATTGTCAGTTGGACAATTGTAAACCTTATGTAACATCCCCACCCAGATAGCAGTGAACACTAGCGTTCAGCCTTGTAAATTAGTGATTTTGTAAATTTGATTTGGGAATTTTAAATGATATTGTGACTATAATCGGCATAATCTGAGAAGAATGAAACTTCTCAGAGGCAGGTTTAGTATAGTGTTAAGAACAAGAGTGGTAGAGTGTGACTGCTGGGTTTGAATGAATGCCAGTCCTATCAGGTATGAGCTTTACTATCTCAGACAAATTCCTTAACCTTCCTGGGTCTCAGTTTCTTCATCTATGAAAATGACATCAATAATAGTAGCTATCTCATAGAGTTGTTATGAGAACTATGAAACACTAATAAAGTACCGATCCATAGCAAGGACACAACACCTATTAATGCATTATTATTATCTTGAACATTTTTCCCTTCACTGAGAAAACTTTAGCAATATTACTTAAGTGAATCTTCAAAGGATTTGACAATAATTTCGATTTGATTTGCTAACCTAAGAGCAAGAGTCAAACATCTCTTTACTTTGTATTATCTATAGAAATAGAATTTGGGAAAGAATGTAAAATTCTTCATTACAGACAGCTGTTTCTTCCATTCGATGTGAATTACTAAAAAAGAGAGATTTCTCATGCATGTTTTTATTTCAACAAACATGCATTTAACACCAGCTCTCAATATATGCAAGGCTTTGCGCTGACACTAGGAAGGGAAACATAGTAAGAGGAGATAGGGTCCTTATCCCCACAGTTATCCGGTAGTCAGCAATGGCCATCCTAATACATCAACAGTTAATCATAAGATTAAAAAAAACCCAGATATTTCAAGAAGTTATAATAATGAAAAAAGTCACCATAAGACAGCATATAATTAAACATCTAAAAGATGATATAAACAATAAATGTGTTTGCTTATTTGTTTAATAACAACCTTCTTGTTTCATAAATATGTAAAGATTCCATGCTAAGCATTTAGATAGGAGTAAAGTGGTTGGGTTGGTCTACGAGGGCTTCATGAAGGAGGTGGACCTTGGGAACATTTTGAAGATTGAGTTCCAGGCAGGCTTCATCTCTTAGACTGTCCCATAAGTGTTAATAAGTGATCTACATGTTAATTCGGAGATGGGTATAGCTTAAGGGCTCAACAGTTGCCATCATGCTTAATTACTGTTCACATCCACCCTGCAGTAAGCTTACTGAGCTTTCATCAAGAAGCAGGTGGAATTAGTAGTAGAAGATAGATCACAAGCTTGATCGTTTCAATAGTTCTATGTTTATTGAGGACCCAGTCAATCTCCCCCCACCCCCAAAATTCAATATATATCCCAGGCACTAGGGAGAAAGAAATGGATTCATTGTTGGTTCCTGGCCTCCAGCTGCTCACAGAACATGTAACAAGTATTTGTTCTGCTTTATAATACATGCAAAGATAAGAGTAAGCCAGAGGTGTGATGAATGGGGAGTGGGTGGGAGTGTATGTGTCAGGGAAAGCTTCAGAGAAGAGCCAGGGTTTTTCATTCTCTGCATTCCTGAATAGAAGCCAAATAAAAGTTTTAATTTGAGGTCAATTCAGAGTGCTTCACAGCTTTTCCCTTTCCACTGAATCTAAAGCTATGATCAGTGAATAAAAATTGCAAAGATAAGTATCAATCAACCAGGAGTCTGGGGGACAATCAATCTTTTTGATTGACACTTTGGTGTCCTTAGAGTTTGTTTCAAAAATGGATTTGGAAGATACTCTAAATCACAAATAATTAATAATGGATGTAAGCACAAACTGGTTCCCCTTACACTTAGGATAAATTTTTTTCAATTGCTCATTTATTCTTTTATTTATTCAGTCATTCATGTATGTGCCAGACAGGCTCTGTACAAAATTTTTTGGCTGATTTGGGAACAAACAAGTACAATTTATTTCTTCATGAATTCTTTTTTTTTTTTTTTCAAATTTAGGATGATTTTATTTACAAAACAGGTTCTTTTGTTTTACAAAAATTTCAAAATATGACAAAAATAGAAATAGCTTCTTGGACTGTTGGGAACTACTTCTAAGCAACCAATGAGTTAAAACACCGATGGTCTTCTTCTTTTGAAGAGCGATGACTGCAACGCTCAGCTGCGCTTCATGTCTCCCCAGAGCCCCGCGACTGTGGGCTGCCTCTGGCGGGAGGGCCGGTGAGGCCAGAGTCTGGAGCAGCAAGATCTTCTCGTTGACGCAGAACCTGTACAGCACCAGCATCAATTTCTCCCCACAGCGGGACACCTGGCGCTCCATGGCCAGGCGGAAGTCCTCCTTCACGCCCTTGGTGATGCCCCGGGTGACTGTGTGGTGCCTGCTCAGCATTCCTTGATTGGGCTGTAGTTCCAGATGGATCTTCCCACCTTCCTGAGTTCTCAGGTAGGCGAATGCCTCCAGCATGTTGATATTTGTAACATAATTGAAAAAATTCTCATATTGGAAGTTTCCTTGCTGGCAAATCTTATTGACGGCTTTCAAGAAAAGGGGGTCTCTCCCCACGGCCACTCCTGCTGAAGCAGCACGATCACATGCCCCAGCACCATGTCGTCTCTGCTGTCTGAGAAGGCTCTAAGCTTAAAACAACCTAACATTAAGTGCAGGCAATAGGGCATGATAGCCTTGCTGGTACAAGGCAGAAGCTTCAGATATGAACCTTTTCTAAACTTGGGCTTTATTTTTGAGGGTTCTTCCTGTGACTTGCCTCCGTCCTGGATGGGGAGGTCCATGTAGCACATCAAATCAAGGACTTGGGGCTTCCCTGGTGGCGCAGTGGTTGAGATTCTGCCTGCCAATGCAGGGGACACGGGTTCGAGCCCTGGTCTGGGAAGATCCCACATGCCGCGGAGCAACTAGGCCCGTGAGCCACAACTACTGAGCCTGCGCGTCTGGAGCTTGCACTCCGCAACAAGAGAGGCTGTAAGAGTGAGAGGCCCACGCACCGCGATGAAGAGTGGCCCCCGCTTGCTGCAGCTAGAGAAAGCCCTGGCACAGAAACGAAGACCCAACACAGCCAAAAATCAATCAATCAATCAATCAATCAATCAAGGACTTTCTCACAGGTCATTCTGTACTCTCCCAAGGCAAAGTGGAAGGTCGCCAGCTGGATGAGTGCCCTCTGATGCTCCAAGGTCCCCTGTCCCGAGATCTGTGGCTGAGGAAGTGGTCCCTGGAGAGCTGCCAAGTGGTGCAGGCTCGCTATGGCCTTTTTATATTGACCCTGATAGATGATCATATCATTGAGGAAGATTCTCAACCAAAGCCAAGTATCCGTCTTCCACGCCATAAGTATCCGTCTTATTTGTAAATAAGAATTTACAAATTCTTATAAATTCCTTGTCAAGGAATTCCAGGGAATAGAGCAGCTCCCAGCTCTCTCTGGCCAGCTTAAAGCTTTCCAACACCTCGATTGAGTTAGCAAGTTCTGCCTTATTGACAGCAATGTGACGATTCCTTCCTTTTGCTGAACAGTCTTCATCGTCCGAACTCATGGGTTTTTCTCTCCTCTCAGCTAGTTTCCTTTTTATGTATGTGTTTATTGCGATCAATTTCTGCATCACCATATACATTTGATATGTCTTCCAGAAGAACCAGTGGAACTTGGCTAGGGGCATTAGGACCCTGGAACAGAGACTGCTGTATGCTGTTGACATACTGAAATGCATTCTTAAAGAAGACCAACATAGCGGAATAAACCACTTTGGTTTTTATATTTCGCATGAGCTTCGTTATCAAAGTTGTTCATGTATCTGCAGAGATCCTTCATTCTATGCAAAATATCACCATAGCTTCGTCTTCCGTTATACATTGGCCAGTCACATCTCATTCCAACAACATTCAAAATCTTGAACAACCTCTCCCAAGGGTCCATGATCTGGGATGATTTTTCAGTCAGCCCCTCTATTATGTACTTCTGAGAGCTACGTTTGTTCGGTGACATTAAATCAGACGTTTCTTGGGCACCTTGACGCTGACTCTCTATTTGAGTAGATCTAGTGACATAATTGATATTAAATTCAGCTGCTTTGTTCAAGTACTTATACACCAGATTGGCAGACAACAGAATGTCATGGTTGTTAATTATTAGAGGAAGGACATCACACACAAATAATTTTCTAAAACAGTTAACAGGAGATTCTTGCTCTTCAATAGTTTCAGCCTCCAACAGTGCCTCCCCAAGGCTAACTCCATGCTGTACCACTGTTTCAGGGAATCGTCTCAAAAGTAGAAGCAACATTTCTGATCGTTCCAAAGTGTTGAAGCATTGTTCCGTAACCTGTAGTAACATTTCACACTGGACCCCACCAGGAAGAGTTTCAAATAAACCTGGATGTTGAAGTCGGCGGGGTAGAGGCTGCAGGCCGTGATCAGCCAAGCCGTGGCAGCCCATAGGTCCTGCTGCACCAGCTCGCGGGCTCGCTGCACCAGGAACTCGCAGTCGCCCTGGGCCGACATGACGCAGGAGGACTCTTTTTTAATTAATTAATTAATTTTTGGCTGCGTTGGGTCTTCGTTGCTGCGCGCGGGCTTTCTCTAGTTGCGGTGAGTGGGGGCTACTCCTCGTTGCGGTGTGTGGGCTTCTCATTGCGGTGGCTTCTCTCTGTTGCGGAGCACGGGCTCTAGGTGTGCGGGCTTCAGTAGTTGTGACTCATGGGCTCTAGAGCGCAGGCTCAGTAGTTGTGGCGCACAGGCTCAGCTGCTCTGCGGCACGTGGGATCTTCCCAGACCAGGGCTCGAACCGTGTCCCCTGCATTGGCAGGCAGATTCTTAACCACTGCACCACCAGGGAAGTCCTCTTCATGGATTCTTAAAATCTAGCATTTTATACTTAGCTGTCTTACAGAGCTGTCAAAGTCCATTAGTTGGTAAGAATAATTATCCAACAGATAAGGAACTCGTCCATTGCAGTGTGGTCTTAGATTCAGAGCCAGCCTAAAATAAGGGAAACTTTCAAATACTATCTAATTCATTAAATACGGAATCAATTCAAAAAACATAGCAAAATAAACAAGATACAAGTTCGTAAACTTAAAAACAGCACAGTCTAAATTCAAATGATGAATAGGACGTTTATTAGAATATTTCATTGAGAGGAAGTCATTATAATTTTTAGTGATAGTTAAGAAACTGGGAGGTTTCTGAAGATGCTACTATTACCACTCATACCACTAATAATGACTGCCAAGTGCTTTACATTTTTTTTAAAGATTTTTTTTGACGTGGACCATTTTTAAAGTCTTTATTGAATCTGTTACAATATTGTTTCTGTTCTTTTTTTTTTTTTTGGCCGCAAGGCATGTGGGATCCTAGCTCCCCGACCAGGGATCGAACCCACAACCCCTGCATTGGAAGGCAAAGTCCCAACCACTGGACTGCCAAGGAAGTCCCCAGGTGCTTTAAATTTAAGGTATACTTTTTCCTCACAGCAGGTGCATAAGTACGTACAATCATCTCTATTTGCAAAGGAGGAAACTGAGGCTGAGAAATGTTGGGTGATTTGCCTTCTGTCAGGAAGGAGTTGATAAGTGGTAGAGGCTGCACTGTATTTGATCTCTACTCAGTGTGTCAGAATTCTGTCTAATAGAAAAGTGATATTTCAAGATGGTCATTAATGAAAGAATTACAATTGTTTAGCTTTTATGCACTGAATTTTAATCATAATATCTGGAGAGTCTTTCCAGAAGGCTGCTTTTTCCCTCTGTTATCAAGGTCTTGGTAGCTCCAGTGCTGGCGATCATGGAAGGTATCTAAGTATAACTCATAGAAACTACAAAAATGTTTTGTATTTTACTGGAATCAATACATAAAACACTGGAGCAGGGACATATGTGATAGGTATATTACATAAAAGAAAAGTATAAATTAGTGCTAGGGGCAGCATGGGTAGTGATTACATAATCCCTACCATTTTAGGCAGGCGAGGCCCTCTGGAATAGGTCCTATCTCAGAGCCTGACTGAATGATGGGCAGGAGATAGCTGGCAGAGGTGGGCAGTGGTGTTATTTTTGGCAGCAGCTAGGACTTGAAGGTGGGAGTTAGTAAAGGGCTTTGAAAAACATGTTTAAAAGAGCAAAAGGGATTAGTAGGGGTAGTTAATCACATCTGGAAAAGGCAGGGAAAGTGTGAATTTTGCGTCTCCTAAATGAAACATTTTGAAGTAGAAGAAAGCTATTTTTTTTCTCTGATATTAATATGTGGGTGGGATTCTAGCATAAATGCCCCAAGAAGCACTCGATTCATGACACGGCAGATATTTTATAGGACTTTAACTGGTTTAAGTACAGTTAAAAATAAAGATGGCCTGACCAGTTGTTGAGGGCTGGGCATGGGAGTGTAAATGGTAGAACTATTTTATTAATAAAAATAGTCATATTCAACTGTCCATAGAAAACAGAGCCTGAGTCAAGGATTGAGAGGTGATGCTTTATTTGTGGGGTACAATTTTCAGGGTAGTGAAAGTGAGAAAGGGAGAAGTGAAGTTGCTAAGGACGGGAAGCAACAGTAGGTGAAGTGTTACCTCGCTGGCTTCTGCTTTAGGATAAACCTAAAAGAGACAAAGACAGTGGCTTGCGAGGCACCTCCACTTGGTCACTTGGTATCTCTGATCAGACGACTTGGTGAAAGTGCCTTAGAACAGTAGGTGGGAGGAAAAGAGGGAGACAGACTTTATCTGACTTATGTCTGCATCTCCTCTCTCTTCTTTCTTATTGGTCAAATTTCTTCCATTAAAACACCCACCCCAACCAACATACTTACCCATTAGACAGCTGCTCAGAACCTAGATTTTATACTCCTCAGTGTGCTGTTACATTAAAGTCTGGAAGTGGTGAGAAAAACCACAGATTCCAGGTTTGTGTCTGGTCAGATTGGTTGGCTCTAGACAAGGGATCACCAGAGCATAAGCTGAGTTGGATGGTTGTGACTGTGTCAGAGCAAGTGGCTGAGCCTCAGAAGAATCTGAGGAGGTGCAGAGAGATAACACATTTATTTCCGCTTATTATATGCCAAGCACTACACTAGAACTTTGCATGCCTTCAATCTATTACTATTCCCATTGTACAGTGAGGTATTCAAACATTAGAGAAGTAGTCTTGTCTTCAGATTTGAAATCAAGCAGTTCTTATTAACCTATTGGAGGGCAATTTGTTTTTTTTACCTTCTCTCCCCCTCCCCCTTCCCTTCTCTCCCCCTCCCCCTTCCCTTCTCTCCTTTCCCTCACCTCCTTCTCTTTCTCCCTCGCTTTCTCCCTCCCTCCCTTCCTTCTTTCCTTCCTTCCTTCCTTCCCTTCTTCTTTCCTTCCTTTCTCTCCCCATCTTTCTATCCTCCCTCCATCCCTCTTGAATCATAGAAGGTGAAGATAATACAGGAGAATGAACTAATTTAGCATGTTCCCTAAACATGATTTTGTTCAGTGAAAGCAACTGTCTGTGTGGAGTACTTTTGGAAGGAATGTGACATGCTACAATGCATCATGGAACCCACTTCTGGGTGCCTGGTTTACAACAAGGCTAAAGAAATGCTGCAGAGATCCTGCAGAAATCAATATTGTTTTTATGCCACTAAATATTCCCCCCATTCTCAAAGCTAAGAAAAGATACCTGGTTTCCCGGAAATATTCAAAGACTTCAATACATTATTTTCCAAAGCCTGTGTGGATTTGAAAGCACTGACTGTTTAAGGAAGCATTGACTGTGCTGTGTATCTGCATGATGCTGGGCTCTATATGAACAGAGCACCTTGACTTATAAAACATATTCAAAGCAGTGAGTTTAATATACAAGTGATAAAGCCTATGTATACTCCTCTATATTTCATGGATAGTATATAGCAGGTCTGGTATATAGCAAACTATAAACTGCATTTAGATTAGGAATCAGTGAAGAAGGAAGAGCACTTTCCCTCTGTTTATTTGAGAAGATGAGTTTAGGATTCTTGATAGAAATGTAAATTTTAAATATTTTCAATGACAGGAGGAAAGAAATTGATCAGCTGTGAGCTGGCACTTACTCCCAGCATTCAATCAGGAGGCATGGAGGAAATCGGTATGAACTCACATATCAGAACCTATACTGTCTCAAGCCTTGACTCTTCTCTTTGTACAGTGAGCAGCCAACTATTTTGACCATTACTATGGAAAATCTGGGAGATGATAGCTTTGGAAACTCTGGGAAAAAATCAGGAAGAGGGCTTCCCTGGTGGCGCAGTGGTTGAGAGTCCACCTGCCGATGCAGGGGACGCGGGTTCGTGCCCCGGTCCGGGAAGATCCCACATGCCGCGGAGCGGCTGGTCCCGTGAGCCATGGCCGCTGAGCCTGCGCGTCTGGAGCCTGTGCTCCGCAACGGGAGAGGCTGCAACAGTGAGAGGCCCGCGTACCGGAAAAAAAAAAAAAAAATTAAATCCTTCTTTACAGTAAGGTCTATTTTGAGGTTATCTATTCTATATCACTGATCTGTCAATCCTATGCCAGTTACATAATATTTTAATTTTATTACATAATTGTTGGAAGCAACCCTCTTTTTCTCTCATTTTTCACAATTGCATTTGTTACTATTTTTAAACTTTAATTCGGGATGAAATATAGAGGAATTTTCTAAAGGCTTCTCTCAATAAAAATCTCATTGAAATGGTCAAATCTGTTAATTAATTTGGGAAAAAAATGACATTTTTCCCAATGATATTAATTTCTTGTAATATTGTATTATTGCCAGTGAATAGTGCTTGTGAAATAGTTTCTTTTTTTGAATTAATGGGCAGAAGACCTAAATAGACATTTCTCCAAAGAAGATATACAGACTGCCAGAAAACACATGAAAGAATGCTCAACTTCATTAATCATTAGAGAAATGCAAATCAAAACTACAATGAGATATCATCTCACAACCAGTCAGAATGGCCATCATCAAAAAATCTAGAAACAATAAATGCTGGAGAGGGTGTGGAGAAAAGGGAACCCTCTTGCACTGTTGGTGGGAATGTAAATTGATACAGCCACTGTGGAGAACAGTATGGAGGTTCCTTAAAAAACTACAAATAGAACTACCATATGACCCAGCAATCCCACTACTGGGCATATACCCTGAGAAAACCATAATTCAAAAAGAGTCATGTACCAAAATGTTCATTGCTGCTCTATTTACAATAGCCCGGAGATGGAAACAACCTACGTGTCCATCATCGGATGAATGGATAAAGAAGATGTGGCACATACATACAATGGAATATTACTCAGCCATAAAAAGAAACGAAATTGAGCTATTTGTAATGAGGTGGATAGACCTAGAGTCTGTCATACAGAGTGAAGTCAGAAAGAGAAAGACAAATACCGTATGCTAACACATATATATGGAATTTAAGAAAAAAAAATGTCATGAAGAACCTGGGGTAAGACAGGAATAAAGACACAGACCTACTAGAGAATGGACTTGAGGATATGGGGAGGGGGAAGGGTAAGCTGT